AGCCGCTGCGAAGAAGGAGCTAAAGGCCATTCCTGAAATCGATTATTACAACTGTTTCGAAGATTGGAAAAGCCGTTGGAATAAGTGTATTATATCAGGGGGGGATTACTTTGAAGGGGACGAAATTGATTTGCAAGAATAAATAAAGAATTTTCGAAATAAATGCAATGTCACCTTACTTTTTGGACACAGTAGTACATCTGCAAAAGAATATACGTTAATTATAATGAAAATAACAATGCACATATTTACTTTTCTATTTATTTTTTAATATTCATTTCTTAAGAGACGTAAGTATGTACGCACTCTCTCTCTCTCTCTCTCTCCCTCTCCCTCTCTCTCTCTCTCTCTCTCTCTCAATGGTTTTCAGGCCTGGTCCTATTGGCCCTTTCACCACAACTTTATAATATGTGGAAGTATATACGCAATGTTCCTCTGCATCCGCTAATCCGATCCGTCCCTCACGGACACGATTTTGTAAGGGAACCGATTAGCCTAGGGAACTTTCTTTCTAGAGAATTTACATCATTAATCCGATTGAAAATCCGATTACTACATGTAAACACCCAATATTGAAGTGATGAATAATCTTTCTCATAGAGACTTCAATCCTTTATTGGAAAGATGTTTTTTTATTGGATATCATACGTTCGTATATCGGACACTATGTGACACTAAGGCCTGTTCTACAATGCGTCGTATGTCGGCGTCGGATGTCGGACGCATGCACACTCGGTTCTCGGCTGTCGTATAAAGCTGTCGGAAGTCGGTTGTCGTTATCGTAACAAGAGTTGGTCAACTCTCATCTTTTCCGATATCCGACTTTCGATTGTACGACTATTATATACAATATAACCTCTTATTTTCATCATGGAATATACAAATCTAGATGAAATAATTATTGATTTTGTGCACGAAAATTATTGTTTATATGATAAATGTAATGTAGATTTCAAAGTATTAGGAAAAAAAGGATGTGTGGAAAAGCATTTCCGAAACTTTGAAAATCGCTTCCCATCAATTGCCTCGATATAATTTGAGAAATCCCACATATTATTGAAGTCATCTGCTATTTTTAGCCATTCATTCTCTTCTTGTGGACATCAAAGATATGTTTCTTGTAACACTTCCCATATTGCATTACACACTTCAGGAATAATATTATACAGTCGATCTTCCTATCTGAAAATGTGAACAAGTGATCAATACTGTCTCCATGAGTAAGAAAGCTAAAAATAAATTTTAATTTATGATAAAATTTTATTTTTATACAATAAAATATAAATAAAATATATCAATATTTGCAACAGAATATAATGATTAAACTAACCTCAAAGTCACTGCAATACGTATCTCCGTTGGCAAAGATTCTCTGTTACTTCTTTTTTTTAACTTTAATTTTAAAAGATCATGTGATCAAATTGTTGCACGGATATCCTTGTAAGTTTAAAAAACTCCTCATGATCATTCGTTCGAAAACATGTAAATAATGTTCGATGAGCACCAAAATTGTTTCTTATATTTCTTGAAATATGTGGTTTTACCCACTACTTTCTTGTTATTTTACGTCTATTTCTTAAATGTAATCTAATTTTTGTAATATGTAACAAAACTAATAACAGATTCAAATAATTCAGCAATACTTTACTTTCCATTTTTGTAATTGTAATTTCTTGTTGCAGCGACTTACGACTCAATTGTAGAACGGCAAGTCGTATTCAGATCCGACATTCAATGTACGACAAACGACAAACGACATCCGAGTGTATATCAGTTGGACACGGGGCAATTGGACACAGTCCAATCACAA